AAATTTATGGCGATGGTCGATCGGTATCTGTAATCGATCGGAGAATTTTTTTTACTATTTTACAGTTATCGTTCGACTTTTAGAGTATTGGATTGCGTGAAATATTAGGGGAAGAGTGGAAAGCCTCGGGTACATATTAGGTGTACAAAGTAATTCGTGGCCCTGTAATTTATTATTGACTGAAAATCGTCGTCAATTCTTCAAGAGGGGATTCGCCAACTGCTCTAGAAACGGCGTAAATGTCTAGAATGTGATCAGGAATATTTTCAAGACTAGATTGTATTTTTTGTTGTTGTAAATACACAACAAATCTATGAGAAGAAGGCAATGAATTAATTTGTATACCTAATAAATGAGACACAAAACCAATATATAATCAATAAATTGTAATCAAATTACTCTTTCAAAAAATCAATATAAAAACTACCTGGTTCATTATAAATAAAAAAATAGAATATATTTCTTAAATAATTTTAGTAAAAAAAACCATTGTGTTGTAGCTTCTGTTTTTAGGCAATCAAAAAATGGTGGATTGCCCCGGTCATAATTTTCAACGATCATCTAGGAGTTCGCGTATACTTACATTATTAGAGTAATTATATAAATTTGACGGATCAGCGTTTACACATTCTTTATGCACCCAGTCTTTACATGTATCGCATAGATTAAACATGTAACAATATATACATTTACTAGACAACAAGTATCGATGAAATTCAATGGCCTCAGTGATGTCACTTTTAGCAGGAAAAAAACTGATTATAATATCTAATTCGCTTCTCGTGCACGCTACTACTAATTTGCAATTCTTTCTGGGTTATGGCAGACATGTTATAATCTGTCATTTATTTTTCTACAAGGCTTAGTAATGAAGATACTAAAACGTCGGGGCTACTCGGCTATCCTTTACAGTGACGAATTGGTTCTAGGAATTGTGGAATCCACTTCGTTTTCGGCATAGTAATTAATGTATACTGTTTTTGTCATCATCAGAGGTTCAGTGAACGCTCAGTTTACAATTTAGATCTTTCTTCGACCGCCACAATTTTGCACCGAGATACCGATCCAACCGGTATCAGCTGCGATATCAAGTGCTATCGTTGTTTTTCATTTAATCGGCCGCATCGGTGTGTAGTATCGATCATCGTTTATCACGAGTAACGCCGTCTGTGTAGTCGGATTGAGTATTCCTTAGGCCATGCGTTTCTGACGGAGGCTGTGTATCCCGGATGAAAGGATTTCGGGTAACAAGAGGTCGTCGATGCTCGACATAAATAATAAATCCATGCGATGTCCAAAGCGAGGACCAACTCGAAAAAATCCTTGGGTAGATGGTTCCACGAGGCAGTATTTTCAGTTTCACGCCCGTACGTTAATGTACAGTAAATTCTCTATAAGTGTTCGATGGTCCCTCAGCATTAAACATTAAATATTTCATAAACTAATGACCACATACGGTTGAAACAAATATCATTGCCTTCAGAATTCCAAGCTCTATCACTGTGCTAAATTTCATTCAAAAATCAGCGTTACACCTTCGAACACTCATCGAAGATTTACTGTACTGTGCAGAGATCGTAAGTTGCCGAGTACCTATATCTTATTTTATCTTGATATGTTTTCTTTGCGTTAATGATAATTCGTGTGTTTGGGCAATTCGTGGAATTACTGTCCAGCTATTTTGATTTGTCGAGAACTTACAATCTCTGTATAGTATTCTCTGCGTTCGAACATTGGTTCATTATATCGTATCGTCGTCCATACTTGTGGAGCATGGCGACAAAGCAGTAAATGGGGGTCGGAGCAGGGTACAGAACGTTGAACGAAACGAATCACTCCCGAAATCCGTTCGCCAGCTATTTCCTGGGGGCTTATATTCTAGGAAGTTGTAGGAAGTATGAGACCATGGACCAGAATAAGACAGCGGATGCCTCACAACACTGTCCCTCTTATTTGCCAGCTTCTTCCCCTGTTTGTGATCGCTTGCGAAGTCAGAAACTTTTCTGCACGATGTTTTACCTGTATTTCCCTTTCCTGTTGCCATAGACGTACAACTTCTGTCTTCCAAATTGGACACCCTTACTGTTTAATTTAAACCGTGGAATGGGAATGGAATTCTGAATATTTCGTGAAGTTCAACGATGGTGGCTCTCGAAACATGATCACTATACTGACTTGAAGGATTCCACGCTTGTTTGTATTCATTCTTGCGAAGAATGTGAAGCATTGACTGTCATGCGTTCTTTTTGCCAATTTGTTGACACATTTTTCTGCTAAGAAATTATGTTATTCTGTGTTGTATAGGTAAATTTAGCTGAGGCTCCGTGACTTTTAATGATCTGTAAATTTAATTATTTATTTCTTTAGCATATGATTTTTTTCCAGTGTGTCAATTTGACACCTTGGGATAAATTAAGTAGGGGAAATGAGGGACGGATGATGGTTAATCTTTTCAATACGGACGACGAGTATACAAGTGGTCCATAGAATGCTTACTGTGGCTGGTATCAAAATTGGCTTGAAAATGCTTTTCACGATGTTTTTATTGTTAATAAATGGGCAGTTTACAAAGAAATACTTTTTAATTAAATTTCACAAAATGAGAATTATGAAGGCGTAAAAAACGCGGTGCCTAAAAAATACCTCGTACTAATCGTGTACGAATAAATATTTAATCATTAACCAACCTCCACTCAGTCAATATTTGTTTCTTTCACAGGCCAGTGTCCAATTCCATTTTTTAGTGTTTAAGATAACACTTGATTGGCGCACAACTTTTTATATTCAAAACAGATTTTTCAAAGTAGATTTGAATATAAATTTTGTGGTATAAAACACTTTGGCAAATGGGTGCGGTCATTTCAACTCCTCATTCTCAAATTGTTTAAAAATTACCAAATAAATATTTTGTTGCATTTTTGACAACTTTTTTACTTTCATTACAGTCATATACAATAATTCCCTTTATAATGTTATTATACATAACTCAATTTTTCTTACCTTTGATCAATAAAATTAGAGTTTTTTTAATTTCTATTGAACAATGCTGAACATCTGAACTCCATCAAATAAAATAAACAAAAGACAAATAATATCTTATTTTACCAATAATCTTTCGAATGTACATTCAACTCTACGCTATACCATCTATACAAGACTAGAAGAAACTAATATATGTGTACCGACAGACATTAAAAACTGCATCATACTAATACTTTATTTCAGAATTTAACATACTTACCCATGTGGTAGCAGTGAGAAATAAAGGGTTAACTCACAGACACCATCATCGACACCATTCTAACTATCTCCAATTCGTCTATATCATTCCATTCTCTTCTCTTACAGATCGATTGCAGTCTCTGCACGGACGCGTTGAACCGCAGGTGACCGAAGTCTCTGCGTCAGGAATACGCGTGCTGTGAAGTTGGGCCGCTGCGGAGGATGCAAGGGCGGCGAGTGCTCGTCGAGTCGCGCGTCGTCGCCGCGTTGGATCGCGCGTCGATCGTTCCCGCTGGCTCGCAGCAGCGTAGTGTATCGCGATGATGGCGGAACGGGGTCGCGTAGCAGCAACGATACCGTCGTTCGTGTACACGGGGCTCGGTGTGAACGTTACAGCATCGACGGGATAAATGCGAGACCGAAATCTCGTGGGCGGACCAGTTAACGCGACGACGAAGAGGAAGAAGAAAAAGAGACACCTGGAATCGGGTCGATACAAGCGGAACCAACCGGGCTGCTGGCGGTGGACGAGAACAGGTGCACAGAAGAGAAACGGGAACAGGAGATTGGATGTAGACAAGGGGGAGGAGGACGACGAAGAGGAGCCGGAGGAGGGCACGGGAACCCCAGGCGAGGATAGAGAGACGAATCTGGAGGAGGAAGAGGACGAGACGACGGCCCGGCGGTTGTTCCCGTGGTCCCATCGTCGGCAAGGTCAGCCTACAACCAGCTGGACTGGACGGCCTCGTGGGCTTTCGTGGTAAGGCCGAGGGTTGTGGGGTCCACCACGGGGGCGGGGGTGGGTTTGCCCCTGCTTCTTCTCGTCGTCGCTGTCCTCGGCAATCAAACGTGCACGACGACGGCTGCGCCGGTGGTGTCCGATACGTACGTGTCTCTCGACGCTACGCCTCCTCGTCTTCTACCTCGTATACCGGCCGGCTCGACCACGGAGCTCTTCTCGACACACCGTAGAACGACGCGCCGGTATTCTAATCCTCGACCAGGGAATCCTTCGGACGATCATCCACCAATAAACGAAGAACTGGATTATCACGGGGTGTCCTCGATAGAACGGGACGCTCTCGATAGAGGTTGGTTATTCACCACTCGAGATCCATCGAAGAGGATCGATAACAACGTAACGAAGGATTCATTTTCCCTTGTACCGGGCGAATCAACGAGGAGAGGAGGAAGAGGAGGAGGAGGTCTGGCTCACGAGAGGACCAAATCGAAACGACGGCAGATCGCGGCGGCTAGCCTGTTGGATGATCGAGGATCGACAGAATTAGACCAGGTGCAACCGTACAGGCGGCTTCAGGCAACAGTTCCCTCGCGTGACCGTCACACGGAACCGTTCTCGACCCTCGTCAGGGACGGTGAATCGGAACGACATGCTACTGTCCGCGGTGGTTTCGTGAGATCTGTGACGAAGGACGGTTACTACTCGACCAGGTCGTATCTAGAGGACACTGTCGGTGGAAGGAGGTTTGCGTCGAACGGGGATAGTTCGTCGACGATAACAACGGCACCGTTGATCAGGACTACCGTACTACCTTATCGTCCGGTGGATCGGACGGTGCCACGGTTACTCGACGACGAGGGTGCAGGCGGATCAGAGGGGAGAGAGGAGGAGGCAGGAGGAAAGGACGAACGGAACAGGAAGAACAAGGGACGAGGTGTCGCGGATAAAAACGGTGATAGGTTCGCGGTCGCGGGGGACGATAGTGGTGAGGTCATAGGTGGTGGTGGTGGTGGTGTCGTCGAGTGGACCACGACAACAGTCGCCGGGCCGATGTCATCGTGGTCGTATCATCCTGAAGATGAGGAGCCGGGAGCTGGAAGCGTAAGGACACGCCCGGGCCCGGAGGAGGCGGTGAGTGAGGACGAAGAGAACGACGGAGAACAGGTCAAGGTCACCGTAGCACAGCCAGGAAAAGGCTCGTCTACGTCGACACCGGGGACCACGAGCACCACGCAGTTGCCACCACCGAGTCAAGACACCTCTATGGGAGCACGTGAGTAACGAGACAATTCGACTACTATCATCCCCCCTCTCCCTCAATCACCCCCCCCCCCATTCCGATGACTTCTTTACCCCACTGTATAGGTCTACGCGCGCCAGTGTCCTCTTCGGTTGTGCCAGATACACGCAGGGCCAGCACCGGCCGTGTGTGTCGCGTACCCTTCTTGCTCCTTTTGCCATGCCTCCTACCCACGGGCGTGTTTACAGGAACCGAAGCTCCGCGGTGCAGGACCCTTGGTCAGGTTATTTTTAACTATTCTAACCGTGGCGGGGCCACTTTCGGCCGACATCTCCTCGCCATCCTACCAGCGCTCTCTCCTGTCTAGAGGTCCCTCGAACTGCTACGACACGCGCGGCTTGTGTGTCTCCGACGCTGCGGCGCAGGAGTGTTGAGCCTGAAATTATCTAGCTTTTTTTGTTTAGCTACTTTATCGGTTGGAAATATCGTTTTGAATTCGTTCGTAATCTGTGGTCGCAACGAGTGCGAGCATTAGGGGAATTACGTATGTGATTTAATTGTTTGTGCTGGAATCACTTCTGCAGACAGGTTTTTTTGGAATATTCACGGTCTTTGTGTTCATTGAATTTTATTTTACTCGATTCTTTTGTAGCATGCGTAGTTAGGGGAAAGGGCTCTGGAACGTAATCGTTTGTCCCGGGTATGGCTTAAGTAGTTACAGATGTAGTACACAGACGCTGGTTAAAGCCGACGCGTCGTAATGGCCCAATATTTTTCATTTTTTGTGGTATATTGTCTTAACTAATTTAATGTAATTATGTAGGGTGTGTTGATAAGAGTGATGGGTTTTTGAATTGAAATGAAAGTATGGGACGTATATTTGAAACCTTTATTTCATCACGAAGATTGTTCGGTGGCATTAATTATGGGACATAATATCATCTAAACGGCCACTTCGGCTTTTCTTGACAACATGGATCAGTTTACTCTAATTTCTGTCTACTCTAAGTTTACTGCAAGGGCATCATTCGGAGCTGTAAACAGTTAATGAGATTAATAATTGTAAGTAATGAGATTACAGAAGTATTATTTTATTATAAAAATTGAAATTTCCACGTTTAAACAATGAAAAATGACGAAATACTTTATTTAGCTTTTATTCGTTATTCGATACTTTTCATCTAAATAATGAATTCGCCCATTTCTGGTCATACCGCAGCTATTATATCTGAATCGATCTTCCCAAGAATTGAATCGAAATCGAAGGTCCCTCAGTGCAGGTCTGTCCGGAGGGCTCGTAGCAGAGTTGGGCAGAATTTGATTCGAATAATACACAGTGAAAAGCAGCAGTATCTAAGGATGTCGTCCTGAGTTTTAAACAGTTAATTAGATTAATAATTGTTAGTAATGTATTATTTTATTATAAAAATTGAAATTTCCACGTTTAACCAATTAAAAATGACGAAATACTTTTTTTTTTATCTTTTATTCGTTATTCGAAACTTTTTATCTAGATAATGAGTTTGCCCATCTTTGGCTCGTAGGAATGGCAAGGGAGAAGGGAATGCCTCTAGCCGGCGGAACGTGTGCATCTCTCGTGTGTTTTCGATTACGCTTGCACGGCCCGTACGCCGGCTGCGTACGATGTACGGGCTCGTGACTTCGCGTATGAATCAGCCGGGCTATTCTTTTCGCGCGCGCACTCTCGCCGCAGCGTCGACTCTCCGTGTGTGTCTCCTGTTTTTCTCTTCGTCTCACCACGAGGTGTTTCACGCGACCGCGCTCCGTCCCACTCCCTGTTTCGCTTTTGCCCGATCTCCACGTCCCGCCGCGCGCGCGAATCAAGCGAGCGGCGACGACCGAATACGCGCGAGCGATTCCGCGCGACTAGATCGTCTTCTCCCCTTCTTTGCTTCCTCGCCCTTTTCGCCCTTTACCCATCGCCACGGTGCTTTTGGTTTCTTGCGCGCGTGAGCTCCTCTCCTTCAACCTTGATGCGGTCTGAATCTCCTTTTATGCTCGACGGTCGTGGCTACGATCGGGGGAAATGAAATTTTGGGATATTTTCGGTGGAATTTTTCTTTAATTAGAACCTAGAACAGATTTGTTAATGAGCATGTTTTTTGAAGTATTAGGTTATAGGTACCATGTGAAAGTTTTGTCTGCGTAGATTAAAATGGAGATGTTTATGTTCGGGAAAATAATTTTTGTGAGATTAATGTATGTACCATGATGATTAGAGATTGTTTTCATGTGAGATATTATCTGATACATTCCATGTTCAGAATAATTGGTGTTGTTAGATTTTAGTTTTTTGCGCAGTCATCCTTTTCAACGTCAATGGGGTCTGGATCTCTTTTTACGATCGGCGGTCGCGGCTACGCTAACCTTGTTGGAATTTTGTTTGAACTGGTTCGAAATAGATTTGCTAATGAACATATTTTGAGAAGTATTAGGTTGTGCCATACGAAAGTGCTGTTTCTATAGGTGAAAATAATTGAGAAAATAATTTTGATGGGATTAAAATGCGTACTACGATGATTCACAGCTTTTGTCAAACGAGATATTATCTGATACATTTTGTTGGAACTTTGCAATTACCGATTCTTGATTAAGGAATCTTTTGTTCCTTAGAATGAACTCACGACATCACAAAAAGTGATCTTTGGTGAGAAAACATGTAGTGAATGCGAATTCTAATTACATTAAAAGCAACCGCAACTGTAAAAACAGATAACTTTCATTCATGAAGTCCATCTGTCACCATTTTATAATATTTGATTCTATCGATCGAATGCAATTTTAATCAATTAATTTGTCCGAATATATACTGTTACCTTCGTATCAAATAAAAGAAGCACGAACTAAGTGGGATAAGGCGTTAAAATATACCAGCGACTTGGTATATAACCACGAGAGGGTGGCAGATATTTTTGCGATGAACATTCTCTCTGCGGACTTCGAGCAGCGAGCTAACGTCTCAACGATCATCGAAAATTACTGTCAATTAAGGGAACGAAGTTACAGTCGACGATCAACGTTATTATCACTGTCGTGTAATTCGGTACTCCACGAAGTACACCGTTCTGGTGAAACTACGGGTGTAGGTATACATATATCTCGACGGATTGAAACGGGGGCGAGAATAGCGGCGAACGTTTAAAATAAAGTCGCGGCGGACGGTAAATTTATCGTTCCCGAACGCGAAATCTGTTTACCCCGTCCTTTGGGGGATTCTCGGGGCGGCGCGGGTTTGCGATGAAAACCCACTAAAATACCGGCTGGAATTCGTACGCTTACGACGGGGTCCACGGAAAAAACTGCCTGCCCTCCTTGTCACTCACGTGTCACTTCTGTATAGCCGGTGAAAATAAGGCCGCGTGCGCTCGCGCAGCTTTTGGAATACCTGACCGGTTAGTCAGACCATTTAGTCATTCCTCTTATACCGGGTACCCGGTATCGCCGCCAGTCACCAGAACTACTCGCCTTTGGGAACCATCCAGATCACGAATTAGCTCGTAAAGAAAAAAAAAAACAGAAAAAAGAGAACACCTCCCCCGGAGGGGTTACAGAAGCCCACCGAAATAAACACGTTAAGTAACAACATCGATATACATACATCTTCCTTCGTCGTCACGATGAATGGGAGGATCGATCGGAAAACGATCGTCCAGTTGAATTACCGATTCATCGACGATTATACTGAACTGGGTTCTGTTAAAATTATTGTAGGTTTGAAATCGGTTGCTTAACGCCTAGGCGGTTGCAAAAGTTATTGTTTACCAGGTGTGTTCTATTATTTTCAATTGAAAACGTAGTATATGGTGTACGTGTTGATCTGATTAGAAAGGTTTGAAAGCACGGAGTGAATAGAGGATTTTATAGTAGAGAAGATGGTCTAAATATGGGCTGGTAGTGTTACTTTTGGACTTATTGCTGAACCTGTTGAACACTTTTAAGATGTGACACTTGAAATCGCTTTACGATGTGGAGTTAAAATAAGCTTCTTTTTTTTAGTCGTAGTTTCACAGTATTCCTGCTAAGGTGAAGCATCTAACGTGTCTTATTAAATATTTAAACCCTACCCTGTATGGGCAACACCTCCACGAGTCCTTTGGCTTTACTGATCTTTTGAACCTTGAATTTTTTCTTCCTTGAACTTCTCAGCTACATTAAACTGGTTTCACAAATAAAATGACCTATACATCGATCTAATACAGTAGATTATAGAGAACAGTAGACACTTTTTTGCAATAGTTTTTCTTGATACCACTTACTGTCATCTAACTCCACGATACTCTCGAGATAATGCGATTCCGTGTCGACAATCATGTCACTGCAGGAAGGAAAATAAATAAATACTTTCGGATAGGCTTAATAATTACAGGAAGTAACGATCGTGGAACGGCAAGGAGAGGAAAAAACAACCAGACGGCAGACGGACAGGGACCGACAGGGGGGAAAAGAAAGGAAAAACGAGGGGCGGCCAGAATCCGGGAATGTCCAAATTTTTGGCTCGATGCCAATCCGTGGTTATCTTATTATGATCAAGCGGAATTAACGAGCTATTTATCGAGATTACACGCGGCGATACGCAACGTTATAATCTAAAATAAACCGCGGTCTGTTCCGTGGGCTTTATCAGGCTTTCGGAGCGCCGTTCGCCAAACACGCGATACAGATATCGGTGTTATTACAAACAGCCGTGTAAAACACCGCTGTTCCTTCCCGAGAACTTGCGTCTCCTCTGTGTCCCCCGAGTGTGTATCACGATTTTTTTAATCGATCGTTCCCGTCGATCACGCGAGTCTCGATTAGATTCGAACCGTTTAATCACCTTTCGGAAAAATCACTGCCCGCGGCCTTGTGTCTTCCAACTGCAACGGGGCCAGTGATTTCGTCAGATGTAAAAGCTACAAATGTTCACAATACATACGGGATTTTGTAGCTTATCAGCCGACACACGTTAGAGAAACAATTGGACTTTTAGATACCGATCGGCGTGGAAGAATTTAAAAAGTCGGATCCTTTTG